CTGGCGGCAATGAGAGTTAGAGAGTGAGATGTTCGAACTAAACCTCCCTCTAACACTCTAAACATTTTATTAAGTTAATCTTTGAAATATTACAGAGAGGCCCTTGAGTGGGCTAGAAATTACAAAAACAGAACATTACAGAGTATGGGCCTAGAATAAGGCCCATTATAGAGGGAAACATAAACATAACATGAAATGACAATCTATGGGCCATTCGGCCCATCTCCTCTATAGGAATCAATTTAATATTCCAATTGAGAATGACTACTCCTTTATTAATGACTTCCCTCGATATACCTATGCACCAATGAGAAGAAGTCCCAAAACTTATGAAAGATTTTCAACGTATGTTCTACACGCAATTTTAAATAGAGATTGAAGTTACCCAATGTGAGTGCATAGGATAAACCCAAGTATATCAAGAGAAGTCATCAATAAAGGAGATAAAGTATTTATAGCCATTCTCAGTCAGAATATTAACCGGTCCCCAAACATTAGAAAATAGAATGTGAAAAGGAAAATGTGATTTTTTTCTGACCTAAAGGAAATGAAATTCTAGAATGCTTACTTAATTGACGCACTTGAGACATAGACAAACAAATCTAGAAACAAGCACTTCAAGTACCCAAAAGACATATGACCCAAACAATGGTGCCACAAAATGATTTGACTCTTACTTGACTAACCCAAAGGCCTTGAGAACACAAGGCTAGCTTTATTCTCTAGCACATATAGACCATCAGCCATGTTCCCTCTACTAATTGTCTACCCAAAGGCCAAACCTTGAAAAACACAATAGGACGAAAGGTTACTGAACAGTTCAAGGCATGCATAATATTGCTAATTTTCAACAGGTTAATGGAAAACTTAGGAACATGTAAACCATTTGATAATGAGACACCAAAAGGCAAAGATATAGATCCTTAACCAACAATGGAGGATAAGGATCCATTAGCTAACCTCGTTTTATCTTTGACAGAGAGAAGGCCGTAGGAATGAAAAAAATTGATTTACCAATCATATGGATGGAGGCACCGTAACAATAAATCCACTTGGATTCTAGGGTATGCATGATCTCATGGAAAGTAGAGGCTAAGTTACTTGAGGAAGAGGCAAACGATGTAAAAGGGGTGGATCCATATTCTGCCTATGGATAGCCTTACCATATTCCATCAAATGGTCACAGAAGGAGTTGATAATATCCTCCTTGAGATTAGAACCAAGGGGGGATTCTAAGAAGAACCATAGTAGAAAACCACTTTGAGGCTCATGAGATTCAAGGTTGGTCGAGGTGAACTTCTTATGGTTTGGCTTCTTGATTTGTTCTTATGTTGATTTTTTTGCTAAGTTCTTGTGCCCACTTCAGTTTTCGTACAATTCCCAACATGTCTCACGGGTGTGCCAGAGGTCAACAAGTTAAATTGAAACATTGAGATTCAAGAAAGAAGTCAAACTGAAATACTTTATTTTCTCAGAATGGATTGATGCATAAGGCTGAATTTTGATGGGAAAGGATTAAATCAGAGAGGGGGAAACAAAGGGAGAGGCAGGATTTAATCAGGGAAAAAGTGAGGAGAAAGAAGATAGAAGAGAACCACCACTAGGAGGAGGAAAGTGGATATAGACAAGTTGGTAGAAAGACAGGAAGAGGTCAACAAGAATGGATAAATCCATAATTAAATGAATGATTCATTGTGAACAAAGGAATTCAGGAATGAATCGAAATAGATATGAATCAATCAATTAAGTAAAAACAAAAAGAAGAAGAATGAATGAATGAATGATTGGAGGAAGAAAGGAAAGAAACAAAGCAATAAAACAAAAAATAAAGAGGTTTTGGTGAATGGGTTGGATTAGGCTCCAAGTGGTTCTCGTGTTTAGTTGTTTCCATTCATATTTAATAGTTTTAGGGGTTTAAGTGGTTGAAATATGAGGTGTAAGGTGGTTGACAGAAAGTGGTCGGAGTCTGTACTCCAACCCAATGTTGAGGGATTGGCCAAGTGGCTGAATTAGAAAATGGGAAAAAAAGGAGGAACAGAAAGTGGTTGGACGTTGAAGGGGCTTCCAACAAAACCTTTTGGCAAGGAATTAGGACAATAGGTAGTTGATGGAAGTCATTTATATGGAAGGAAGGAAGAGCATTCACAGTTCGGAGGTGAATGATTAGCTCCCAAAAGTCTATTGAACAGGAGGGGCAAGTAGAAGACTTAGACCGGTCTAAACCAAAAAATAGGGTGTTTGACCCAACCCATGTTACTTTAAAGAGAGTATTGGCGCCATAACGAATGCTATTGCGAAGTAGGGATGAAATAGGAGAAATTGTTGGATTGGTTTATATCAAAAGAGAAAAAGATAAGGTTTCAACAAGGAAAGATGAGGCCATTTTGCTTCTTCTTGTCTTTATCAAATTAATTCATTCATTTCAACATTGATTGATTCCTCAATATCTCCGTTAAAATTAATTCATTCCTTATCATTCTCACATTTATGCTTATATTTATCAAGATGAATGCATGAATGTAACCATATGAATGAATGCATGTATGAATCAATTAGGTATGGAACAAAAAGAAGAAAAGAGGAATGAATGAATGTAGGATGGAAGCAAAGAAAGAAACAAAGCAATAAAAGAAAAAAAAATAAAAAATGCAAGAGAGGTCTTGTTGAGTAAGATTCGATTACATTCTAGGTGGATTTTGTGTTTAGTTGCTTCTATTCAGATTTAGTAGGTTTTGGGGTTTATGTGGGAGACTTGGACCAGTCAGTATCACAAAGGAGGGGCTTCCAACCGAGGCATGTTGCTCTAAGTAATTACGAACCATCATAGCAATTAAATGGGCCGTTAGATTACTCATAGCCCAACACCTATTCTATGCCGAAATTTGAAAAGGCTCAAAAACCTTGTCGTGATTCTAACAAAGAAGAGAGACAAGAGTTATTACCATCTATCAAGTAGAATTTTATATGGGTAGAGACAGCAAAATAAATATAGGAACAAGCGAAAGCAATATACACAAAACAAAGGCACTATGCTAGAATTTATCAGTTACAATTCGTCAAAATGTAAGAAAGGAAAAAGAAGCTTATCAGCATACCATTCTGGCCTCGCTTTAATAAGGAAAGAGTTGGATTACTACCAAAGCATAGAATGGGAGAGTTAGAAAGATGCAAAAGCCTATAAATAGTTGATTTCCCAACAACATGTGATTCCTTTCCTACTAGGCCTTGACCCTATTTATGAGCCCATTTGGGTACAAATCTTGGGCATCAAGGATCTCCCTTCAGTCCAAGAGGTGTATATGCATTGGTTCATTGCAAAAAGCCAAACCAGAAGAAGTTCACCTCGATCAACCATGCATCTCAAGAGCCTCATAGTGGTTTCTCTACTACCAGTTTCTCTCAGGATTCCCCCTGGTTCTGATCTCAAGGAGAATATTATGAACTCCTTCGTTGACCATTTGGAGCAATATGGTTGGATTATCCGATAGGCAGATTCTAGATCCACCCCTTCTACATCGTTTACCTCTTCTTCAAGTAACATAGCCTCAACTTTCCAAGTAGCTACTAATAACCTAAAATCCCCATGGATTAGTGATTCCAATGCCTACAACCATATGTGAAGATATATCTTGATGTACATTATTAGAGTAGTCCTTGTTGTATAGTATCATAGTTCTTATTATTTTATTTGTTCTTTTTATCTTTCAGCCCTGTAAGGGCATTCTTGTAACTGTACATACTTTTTATCTCTTTAATATAAAAGA